GCCAGGCTGCAGGTGGAGGGCTGCTCCAGACTTCCTGGGTCCTGCCAACCGGGCCGCAGCAGGCAGGGGTGCTCTCCGGTTACCCGCTTACAGCACGAGCTTGCTCGTGAGGATCATATGCTTACTGAGGCGTTGATTCACCGGTTAACGTTTTACACCCCAGTGGAAGGGACCCCACACTCCATGGATCCTGGTTCTCAGGCGCCTGGTGGGCCTACCGTGGCTTGGGGGGTTGGGGTGTGGCCGCACCCGACTGAAGCGGCTCACATCCAGGGCATGCTGGCTACAGCAATGAGGGGCCTTTGCACAAGCCGTGCCAGCGTGGGATCCGGCTGGCACTGCCAGTGTCTCAGCCGTCGTCGAGTCGGGTGCACGTGTGGGGAGAGGGGACGGCGGAGGCCCGGCCAGCTGGAGAAGGGGGATGAACTCAGCAGCCCAAGAAGAGACAGAAAAGGTCCATCTTCCTGTCGTGGGAGCAGCACGAGGGTCGCTCTCGCCTCCCCGAGTCGTGTCCATCGAGCCTGCAACCAGCTCGGGGCACCCACTCTAGTGCGGCTGCCGCTTGAGACGCCCAGCTCCCTGGCACCGGGGGCACCACGCCTCGGCACGACCCAGCCAGCCGGAGGCCTGGCCAGGTGCCACACGGCAGCACTGCGGCACCGAGCCGGCAGTGTCTTGGCCGAGGGCTGGGCCCCGGGGCAGCTGCTGGGCTGGCCACACCTGGGAGCAGACGTGCCCCCTCAGGCTTACAGGCGCCAAACCCCCCAGCCAGGCCCGGGTCAGCCCATGTCTGGCCTCCGCCCCGCAGAGCTGTCGGCTGTGAGCAGAGATGGGGCAGGGCACCCCTGTATGCAGGGGCCCTATCCAGAGCTAGGGCTAGCGCAGAGCTGGGTGGCACACCCAGCAGCGGGAGGGGCGGGGCGGTGGACTTAGCCCACGTTAATAGGCGCCACGAGCGCTCGCCCATAGAACGTGGCTGGCTGGGAAGTTTCGCTGCCAGGGCAAAGCTTTCCTCACGGCATTTTGGCTTCTTAAAAAAACAAAACCCGAGAGGCCCTGATAGAACGTGGTCCAGCCCAGCCTCTTGGCTTTGTAACCAAGCGCTCGGCTGACGCCACAGCCCGCCTGCCCCACGGGAACCACGCTGGTTTCTGCGCCGCGCCGGGAGGGAGGTGGT